TTATTACCCCGGTCATTGGATCAAACACATATGGAACACATTAAACACTAAATGAAATTATTAAATTAAATTATATCTCCATAATATTGCGGCTAGTAATCAGCGCAGTGTTGGAACCTACCAGGTACCCACTTGTACTCCTGGGTGGAGTACAAGCGATTTGCACAGCGAGAGTTTCGAACCCCCGACCCCGAGGTTGGGAGTCCAACCCACAACCGATGCGCCAACCACTTCTATATAAGAAAACACTGTGTTTTCAGGCAAATTCAGTGAAGTAGAAAAGAAACAATTATGAGTTGGATTAGCAGTAATTGAATTTGGTACGCGTTTCATGATACATGTCGGAAATTAGTTTCCTTATATGACAACAAAGCAAAAACACAGTCCAATTATTGAATATTAATTGCTCCTAAATTTGTCAATGATATCACGATGTTTTTGATTATGAAGGAGCGTATTGCCTCTAATAGGATTCTTGGAAGAATAAATTTGAACTACTGTTCGTCCTAGGTCACACTTGATTCGGTTAACATGCCCAGGATCTGCATTAATCCGGTAATATCTAGATTGCTCTTCATTCTGACAAATTACTTATTGATTAAGTGGTGCATGGCAATTGATCAACAAAAATTGTAGAGTCCCTTTAATAAAATGGCAAGTGGAGGCAGTCACACGGCGTATCTAGGAGACATGAAATGGGTGAGCAGATTTGGTGGGGGTACGGTTGAGTGATGGCTCGATGATAAGAAGAGAGGTGGTGCTAGAGGTCGCAAAATAGATATGAGGTGATTTTCAACTACTTTAGCGTGATTTTTTTTTAGCTTTAGACGTTTTCATTGAGAAACTGAGGGAGCGCGAGCTTTTTTATGAGTGGGTGGGGTGGGGGGCTCCCCTAGACACGTCAATGATTGAAGTCGCAATATGCATCAACATAGATAGGCCTAGGTCTCGAACTTCGTCTAATTACCTTTCTTCATCGCACATGTGGTATCATCATTCATTTATATTTTTTCTAATTACAATGCTGCTTTATTCGTTTGCAATATCATATTTTATAATTTTTCGATTTCGATTTAAATTTTTTTATCCACATTTAGTATTTGAATAGGCCATTCTGATATCAATGTATTCTTAAGTTACTTGTAATTCTTTTGCTCAATAAAGTATTTGTCATTTTTTTCTGTGTGATGAGCCATGGTTTATATTTTATATGTGTTGTTATGCAAGCATTTTAGCTTTGTGTTACCTCTTTGTATTTGACGATTTTATACCTCAATAAATAAAATAAATAAAAACTTTCCAAAAAGATATTTTAACAACAGGACTGTACAGAAATACACTCAGCCTGATATTCCCTTGCCTATTTAAAGCTTGTTATGGGTTTATCTTTTCTACCGGTGACTTTTTTGTTAACTCGTTAATAAAACGGCCTAAGGCCTGGGCCGAGCCTGAGATTTCATAATATATGATGTGAACTTGTTGACAACTTACTGGATGTTCGGAAGATGTGGTGAAATCGCCTCCGGGTGACGTTTTGGTCCAGTTGGCTCAATTGGAAATTGGCGAGGCGGGAGCTTCGGTGCTTCACGGAGTTCAATTGATGGTATTTGTCGGAAAAGTTTCAATGGTGGAAGGATTTGTTTGAAACGATAACTGCAGTTGTACGTAGTTGCGTTTATGTTATCGAAATTAACTTCCATGTCAAAAAAGCATCTTGTGTAAAATATTAATACGAGTGTGTGTATACTGTGTTGTGGTGGTAGTGATCATCAACTCAAAAACACGAATGCTATGGCAACCCGAATCAAACGCGCAATATTTTGCGCACTTGTAGGCAAGACGTTACGTAACATGGAGCGTGTGTATTACGCATGTGTAAAAAACACTATCACATCATCCGCTTGGACTGTGATGTTTATATTTTAATTAATTTAACGCTTATTTTATACTCAAATTTGCTATGGTTGATGATTCTTTAGGGATATTGGACAAACAGAGATGATATGTTTGTAAGTTTACATCTCAACGCTGAAAATCTTTACTGAATCGATTTAGTCTGCAACACTGGATTGTTGCACTATCATAAGGATTAAGGCCAACTCAGACAGCGTCGGCTGACGCAGCCCGACCCGATTTATCGTCGGGGACAGTCTTAAGCCGTCGTGAGAAATATTAAACACGTTTAATATTCTACTACGCGACTGCCCCCGACGCACACCA